AGAGTCCCCGTCCTAGATAATACTTTTCCAGTGGGAAAAGCCTTTAAAATCCATGTATAACAATTTTATGTTTTAGTTTTCCCTTCTTTTAATGTAGGTGCCACTTTTGACGTAAGTTTGTAATAATTTTTCATATTTTTTAGTTAATACCCTCTAATATTATAATTTAACTAAGATCTTATGCTTTCCTATGGACACGATTCAAGGAGGGAGTCCTATGGCTGTCATTCAAGCCCTAGATAATAGTTTTCCAGTGGCAACAGCTTTTAAAATTCAAGTTTAATAATTTTCTGTTTCAGTTTTTCTCCTTTTTCGAAGTAGGAGTCCATTTAAACTAAAAAAAATTATTTCACTTGTTGATTTTAACATTTTAACAGTAATATGGGATGAAATTACTCCGATATGGTTTTTAAAAAGATTTTTTCATATCGCCTTCCTATGAATTAGCTTGGCGAGGAGGTGATGCAATAAATTGTGCACCATTAAATTTTAGAGGAAGAAGAAAAATGAAATAATGGTGATTTAACTGGTCGCATTGAATAATAAACAATATTTTTTAAAACGTGTCGTTTGTTTAAAAAAGTATTGCGGAAGTAAATGAAAAAGAAGTATCGCGGTAGTAAATGAAAAAAAAGAAGACCGAAAACCCTGACATATTGATACCATGTCTAAAAATGTAATATTTATTGGAAAATAGAGAAATAAAAAAGTCTGTAATTTATTTTTAAATTAAACTTTTGACTTTTAAATAAATTAAATAATATCGGACCGCAATTTTTAAATGTGACCATAGAAACTGATATCTTGTTCATTAAATTATCCAACCTGAAAATAACCGTAAAAACATCCAGGTCTTATGGTATTACCACCGAAAAAAAATATCCGAAATATCAATTTCTGTTGGTTTTTTAATAATCAAATTATAGCAAAACACTGTATGTTTGTAAAACTGTACTTTTAAATAATTTTGTCCTGTTGTTTGATCCTTTGATCCTCGTAACACAAGACATCCATAAATTACCCTATATTTAAAAACCTTTTTACGAGACCCAGTGACATCGAAATACGAAATTTTAGTACGCTATAATCAGTTTTATCGTTTTAAAAAAATTACTCCTGCAAATCACATTAATATGGCAGGGTGTGTCTATAATTCTCGCAGGATTGACACTTCCACAGCTTCGATGCTGTTCGTTTGATGGCTTTACTCTAAACTTATCTAGTTACTCTTTGGTATGCAAGGATCGTCTCCCAACGTCATCTGACCATCATTATTAGTATCAAGTACGTTCACCCTATTTTGGGGTAGACTTCGGAGTACGCCCCAGGAATATCAACACGTTTAATTAAAAACCATAATTCACAGAGATATGAATAATATTTTTTTAATTAGTTAGAAGGGTTGGTTCAATTAATTCAGAAAATATTGGAAGTTATATACCTGTTGAATTACAATATTTATCTAATAATCTATAATTACTTTCAACAAAACTACGATGGCTGGTCTACAAGTATTGTTCTGGTCAGATAATTTTTCTTATTCATATTTATATATTAGTATTAATATATCAAAAGCAGCCCAGCGCAGTTGTCTAACTACAAAAGAGTGTTGCATTTTATTATTACTAAGTGACTAGACTTTTGGCTCAAAACGGATTCAGGGGACCTCAAAACGTAAAAATCCGTCGAAAACTCAAGTTTGAAAAAAATCATGATTCCTATACTTTCCTTATATCTGTATACAGATAGGAAAGTAAAAAATACATAAACACAACACTTTTATATTATTTTTAATACCTGGTGTACTGAGAAAATCGTCGTGGGATTACGTAGTAGATGTTGAGGGTACAGATTCATTCAGAATGATCAATGTTTTCATTTGTTGCGGGTGTGTGCCAGAATATTGTCAGAAGTACATTTTCAAATAAACGTTTCCGAGTTGATCCAACTGAAAAACTACTGGGCTAGAAATGTTTTTTACACAACTGGTAGCTTTTGTGTAATTATTCACTAGTTATATTAATCAAGTCTTCTTGATTACAGGCTCTTAACCACATGGGAACTCTAAAAAAATACAAAATACATTGTCATAGGTACATAAATATAATTTGATTTAAAAATGATAATAAAATAATTGTTTTGATTAAATAGCCAAACAAATAATATACAGTTAACATTGCTGCATTTGAAAAGTACCTCGTTTTACTCATTTTACTCGAAGCAGTTCTTTTAATACATCTGTGGGTTCTCGATGGGATCTGCTGCGTGGTCTTTTAATGCAGAGCTGGTAAGTACAAAGAAAAAAGCAGAACACTGTTTTTAACTATGCAATATGCGTCGTTACCTTTTCGATAAATGTTAATTTCAAAACACTTATAAAGAGATTTTTACTAGCTCAGTGAAATTTAATATCAAACATTACTTACCTTAAAAATTAAAAGAAATAAATGAGCACATTGACCATACTCTCAGTCGTGAATTCGGCTTTTCTAATAGACACCTTTGGGGTAATAATTTTTCTAGGTAATGTTGGGCACCAATAATTCTCTTTTTTTATTTTTAAAAGCTAGTGAGAATTATAAACTCTAGCTTTATCAATAAAAAGAAGTAAATAAAAACTTATACAGAATTTAGTTTGAGTAAAAGAGAATTGTTGTAACCTTTAAAAAACAAGATTCAACATATATATATATATATATATATATATATATATATATATATATATATATATGTATGTAAAACGTAAAGTTTGGGGACATCTTTTGATTATACTTTTTTTTGTATACATCCGTATACATTACCATTACAAATCAAAGAAACAAGGAAATTTTGAAAAAATTTGGTTTTTGCGAGTTTGTCTATATACTGTTAAGTTTGGGGACTTTTTTCGGTACAAATAGAAAAATGATAAAACGTAAATATTCCTGATCTGTCATATTTACTGAAACTTTATCTCTTTCTTTTATTTGCCATGTTTATAGCTATGATTAATTTAAAAAGAGACTTTGTTAATAGTGCATCAAATAAATAAAAAATTATTTGCTGATACTTCTTTTGAATAAATTTCAAATTCTATGCTTTTCGAAATAGAATAAAATAGTTATTATTTTTTTTTTTGCTATTTTTATTGGTAAGTTTAGTTAAGAAAAATACAAGACAAATATTACAGTGCGACTCAAAAAGTCTGCACCATATGGGAAAATTTTTTATTAATCACTTGAGAGAAAATTTTATTCCCAATAAAAGTTGGTGCATTGCGTAAAACTGCTTTTGCAAGCGTCAAACTTTCAAATTTCCAAATTGTATACAGGGGCGGGCAAAAAATAGGAATTTTGACCAAGAGTAAAGTACCCTTATTTTTGACAATATCAAAAAATGTTATTAAGGAAAGTTGTTTAGAATTAAAAATTACACTCAAATTTAAAATCACAGCCTCCTACGAAAAAAATCCATTTTTTGATGTTTTTGATAATATAATTTCGGATGCACTTTAGGGGCCTTCGTTCAATCACTATAATACATTTTGGTTAAAAAAATTTGGTTTTCTTCGTTATTTTCACACCATTTTCGGCCTTTTTTAAATTTTTTATGATTTTTGGTTTTTTCTTGGTGCAACGTTGAAATTTCACCCTGTAGACATGTACATAAAAACTACCAATATGATTTATTTAAATTAAATAAGTTAACAAATAGAACGAAGCAACTAAATAATACATATCAGCAGGTTTACAATGACCGTAATAATCGTAGTAATTAAAAACTAAATTACAAAAGAAAAATAATTACTTACAACCTAATAACAAAAATAATTTAATATCTAATAATCTTTAAATTTTCACATAGCTACCTTCCATCTCCATACATTTTATTGTTCGTGCACAAAATTCTTTATTAACATTATTTAAAAAAGATGTTGGTTTACAGGGTGAAATTTCAACTTTGCACCAAAAAAAAAACAAAAATCATAAAAAATTTAAAAAAAGGCCGAGAATGGTGTAAAATAACGAAGAAAACTAAATTTTTTTAACCAAAATGTGTTATAGTGATTGAAAGAAGGCCTCTAAAGTGCATTCGAAATGATATTATTTTGAGCTAGGCTAAAAACATAAAAAAATGGATTTTTTACGTAGGAGGCTGTGATTTTAAATCTTAGTGTAATTTTTTATTCTAAACAACTTTCCTAAATAAATCTATTTGATATTGTCAAAAATAAGGATACTTTATTCTTGGTCGAAAATCCTATTTTTTGCCCGCCCTTGTATACCATTTAGAAATTTGAAAGTTTGACGATTGCAATAGCAATTTTACGCAATGCACCAACTTTTATCAGGAATAACATTTTCTGTCAAATGAATAATAAAAATTTTTCCCGTATGGTGCAGACTTTTTGAGTCGCACTATATATTAATATTAAAAAAAAAGTTTCATCGCTGGAACTTTTTTAAAATATTTCAAATTGTAATTTTAGTTTCCAAAAATACATAAAATCGTAATTATTTTATTTGCAATTTTAATCGTTATGATCAGTCAGATACAGGGTAAATAGTGCATCAATGTTAAATAAAAAATTCATTGCTTTTTGAAAAATTCTATTCTGTACTGTTCTAGTGTAGATGGCACATGATGTAAGTTTTTTAAACTTGAGCAGAAGATAAAAATTTGATGTTAATTAAAAATTAGCCCAAGAGGTTATCCATTATCACAAATGGTCAAATAATGAGGTACTAAATTTTAAATCATGTACCACAGAATTTATTTGCAGTTGTTAAACTGAAGACGAGGAAACGGCAACTAGTTTCGGCATATTGCCATTACCATCATTGCCATTTCCCCCACTTCAATTTAACAACAGCTATAAAACTACGTTGCACATGATTTATTTTTTTTACCTCTTAATTAAAAATACTTGCTTGTATAGAAATAAAATTTTATTCAATTTACACGAACAGCTTAAAACAAACTAAAAAATTATGAAATTCCAACCACTTTGTGAATGTATTGATTAATTTAAAAAATATTAAATAAGCGTTTGAAATGAATTTAAAATAAAAACGAACTGATTTGTAATATGCCTAAATTGCTCCAAACGAGTTTTTATTTTCCTCCACGTTTTTTAAATTGATTGTGTAACCAGGTTTTTATTTGCGGAGAAGATCGTCGACTCAGTATCGGGCATTTCGATTTAATTTCCTGTATTTCTTTAAATGATGGTAATTTTTTATTTTTTAAATTTTTTTCAAATTCGTTTAATGCTGTTGCAGTTTCATCAGGGGTCCATCTTCTCCTATTAACAAATCCATATGGAGATGCTAGAAACAATATATATAAAACATTGAAAATTAACCTTGATTGTATCTTACTTGATCTTTTTTTTCTTGGTGTTTTTACCGGTTCTTCCCCTTCACTACTTTCATCGCTACTATTTTCTTTGTCTTCTTCATTCCTTCCTTGAGCAACTTCGAGTAGTCTTGACACCCGTAAAATATCTCGTGAAGCCACGGGTTGTCTATATATATTCCTATGAATTTTTTCATCATGCCCCATAAAATTTGCAAGATCTGTAACTTCATCTTCTTCTAAATTTAATTTTATACAGGTGGTTGCGATATGTTTGCGTAATTTTGTTCCCCTTAACCTTTCTGGATGCTCTGCCCCGCAGAGAACTGCATGTTTGCGTATAATATTACAGGCTCGCAAGTATTTTGCATTTTTTACGCCAGGTACCGCAAATACATATTGATTCTTTTGATCTATTTTTGCTTGGCTCCGGTATTTCAGGAGAAGTTCTATACACTGGACTTGTTTTTTATCTAAAATTACAGGAACTGTTCGATTCAATTTTCCTCTTATTAGAAAACGTACATAACGCTCAACCATTTTTTGGGTTTCTTCAGATAACAGTGTATCCTTTTGTACGTCATTGATTCCTTCGTATTTCTTGAAATCCTCAATTAGTATTCGTTCTAGCTCACCAGGTCTTCTTCGGTTAAAGACCTGAATACTAAGAAGAGTGTATTCTGATAGGTTCAGCCAGGTGGAAATATCAAATTTTTGTTTTAATTTATTATATGTTATTTCTAAATTTTTTTGTAAATACATATAAAACTTTCTGATGTCACTTGTCAAAGGTAAATCAACTGTTTTTTGTCTTCTCATATGAACTTGCGATTCAGTCACTGTTCTTGTTACATTAATCTCAATTTCTTGGGTAAATAGTAGTAAGAAGTTTTTTGTATTTTTTCGCTTTTCATCATCGTGCTTAATAATACATTGGTTAATCAAAATTTTTGAAATGTATTTGAGTATGGTACCTAATGATGAAGCAACTGTAGGATTTTGAAAATGACCAGTATCGTCATTGGCTCCTGCCAATTTATTAATTACCCTTATTGTATCTTGGCAGTATTTTGGTTCGAAAACATCTGTCAAATTCTGAATATCCTTATTGATCTCCTTCAAGGCTTTTAAAAATCTTCCAATTAATCGCATACGTTGCCGGATCATTTCGCAGTACCGTTCATTTCGATATTTCTCGCACATTTTATTGGCATAAACAATGACTAATTCATCGTATTTTATTAAATCTACAATATCGTCATCTCTAAGAGGTGGAAAAAGTTTTTCCCTTACCATTTTATTGGCTGTACAATGTAACCTTGCAGCAATTTTTTTTCCGGTTACTATAACGCAACGGTTTCTGGCACTAGAAATTCCAGTGCAAGCTTTAAAATGAACCCTCAAACTATTCTTGGAAAAGAATGCCTTACATTTAACACAAGGTAAGAAATCAGTTGCCTTCCTCAACTTCTTAGCATTTGGTCTTCTTGAAACTATTAGATTACCGTCATTTAGACATGCACTTGTATTGTACTTGAAATTACCTTTTTTCCTTAAGAGGCCAATGATATCAGTTCGTTCTTTGCAACCCTTCGGTAAATTTTTGAATTTCTTCACTTCATCTTCATTCTTATGAACAGTTTCTAAGTGTCGTGCAAGTTTGGTTTGCTTTTTATAACAAAACATGCAAACATTCAGTTTTTCACCACCTCCACTCGCTTTGGATACTGACACAAGAAGGTTTTTGTCGTCACAAGTGTTAATTGTTGTATCAATTGACCTCTCCAACAAATTATTGGATATATTGTTTTTAGAATTTAAAGAGCTAGATTCATCTGCTACGTCACTATGTTCTGAGCTACATTCTTTTTCCTCATCTGGTTGATACATGGGGTCATCAATAGAATTATCAGAAAATCCAGTAGGTGATTCTGTAAAAAAAACGATACTTTTTTTTAGTTAAATTATATTTTTTTATGGGTACCTATGTACAAAATTAAAAAAAGGTGATTTTGACTTTTCTTACGGATTTTTAAATACGTTCTGAATTTTAATCGAAAATTGAACAATAAAGGGAATAAAAGAAAAAGAGGTTTACTAGAAGAAGAATAAAATATAATGGGTTCTATTTTTAATTTGTATAATATTTACCCGATAGCTTATTATCACCTATATTTTCTTCATCTTCCATTGCTACGGCATCTTGAATAGACGTTTGTAATATTAAAAAAGAAGAAGAATTGATGTTTTCAAATTTTTCAATTTCGACACTAACATCTTGACCGGACATTTGCAGCATTGAAGAAGAATTAATGTTAACAAACTCTTCCATTTCCACACTGACATCTTGAACGGACGTTTGTAGCATTGAAGAAGAAGAATTAATGTTAATAAATTCTGAGCCTATGGAAAAATTGCTCAGGTCCATAGACAAGTTGTTTTCCTCGTTTTCTTTGGTGGTCTCGCTTTGAACTGCATATAAAGTCTCTGCATATTTTTCTAAGTACTCCTTCGATTCTATAACAATGCACAAATTTTTAGGTCCAAGTATAGAACAAAGTGATTTTCTAATAATGAAATTTTAAAAGCAGAAACAGGGTTGCTTTAACTGTTATTGCATAAATTGTGATATCGAATTTCGATTAATGGAACTGTACTATTTTTTTATTAGAAGTAATGATTTATAAACTAGATAAACAACAACCTTACTTATAATTTCCATAGCCTACATAGTAATTTTCTTACAACGCATTTTGAATACATTAAAAAAATGTTCGAATCTCACTTATATTTTTGAATTTTTTAAAACTGAAAAAACTGTTGCAGTTAGAAATGTATGCCTAATGAGAAACCATAAAAAAACCGGTGTGAACTTAGCAGCCATTTTCTAGCAGCCGATTTTCATACAGCAGCCAAATGACCAGTGGCGTCGGAAGACGATTATATTCTTGAAAAAAATTATTTTAAGGGACCTGTAGAGAATAACATATAAAATGAAAATATTAAATATTGCCACATCACAAACGTTATACAAATATTAACAAGGGTTTTCTAGGGCAAAGTTATCACTCTTAGAATTATTAACAAATTTAAAAATACTCTTCAGAAAAGATTAGCCAAGTTCAACTTTTGCACAATCATTACTGACTATATTATGTAGAATAATTAAATTAATATGTGAATTATTTGCAAGCCGTCAAAGGGGTAGTAAATACCCTCACAAATAGGAAAAAAATCAAAAATACCCTCCAGAAAAGTTTAGCCAAGTTTAAATTTTGCACAAACATTACTGACTATATGTAGAATAATTGTAATAATATGTGAATTATTTGCAAGCCGTTAAAGGGGTAGTAAATACACTCACAAATGGGAAAAAAATGAAAAGTACCCTTCAGAAAAGTTTAGCTTTTGCACAAACATTACTAACTATATGTAGAATAATTGTATTAATATGTGAATTGATTTTCAAGCCATCAAAGGGGTCGTAAATGCCCTCACAAATAGGAAAAAAATCCAAAGTACCCTTCAGAAAAGTTTAGCCAAGTTCAAATTTTGCACAAACATTGATCATTATACATAGAATAATTGTAATAAGATGTGAATTATTTGCAAGCCGTCAAAGGGGTAGTAATCCTCATAACTTAAAAAAAATCACGCCGTTGACAGTTTGCAAATAATTTACATCTTATTACTATTATTCTATATATGTAAAATCAGGAAAGTTTGTGCAAAACTTGAACTTGGCTAAACTTTTCTGAAGAGTACTTTTGATTTTTTTCCTATTTGTGAGGGTATTTACTACCCCTTTGACGGCTTGCAAATCAATTCACATATTAATACAATTATTCTACATATAGTTAGTAATGTTTGTGCAAAAGTTGAACTTGGCTAATCTTTTCTGAAGAGTATTTTTAGATTTTTTAATAATTCTAAGGGTGACAACTTTGCTCTAGAAAACCCTTGTTAAAATGTGTATAGTGTTTCTGATGTGTGGCAATATTTAATATTTTCATTTTATATGTTATTCTCTACAGGTCCCTCAAAAGAATTTTTTTCAAGAATATAATCGTCTTCCGACGCCACTGGTTATTTGACTGCTGGATGAAAATCGACTGCTGAAAAATGGCTGTTAAGTTCACACCGGTCAAAAAAATATAGTCATTCCATTTAAAAAAATTGATGTTACTTCCGGCTCAACAGGAAGTGATATTTTCATTCCTGTTAGTCTAAAAGTAGCACATTAGTGTCTAATTGATGTGTGCCAAAAACCTAATTTTTAAATTCGAAAACAACCAAAATATTGGGGGCGTACATTAACTCGTGGCCACCCGGTATAAATATAGATTCTATATAATTTACGAAATGTTTCCAGATTGGGGTTCAAAATATATTTTTTCTTATTGGATATGTTTAAAAAAGAGGCCGCCATGTAGCCCTTAAAAATTGTATACTAAATAAATTAAAAACGAAATAATGAAATATAACTAAATGTTCACTATATTCACTAGAAGAATAAAAGAATAAACTTACCGTGCATTAATAAAACAGATGCCTCATATTTGGTTCCTTTATGTCTCACAATGCACTTATCGTTTTCTTTTAAAAGAACATTATTTTCCGGATAAATATTTGTAGAATACTTTTCGAACTCTACTAACACATACATGATTCTCTCAGCGAAATTAGTCCTCAACTAAATAGTAAAATACAAGGGTATTGTTTTAAAGCTCAGACTTTTTCCACCTTTCGTGTATTGTCCCCAAATTGTACAAATGCCAAATATATATTCGTAAATTCTCTAAAAATGCGGGAATTTTCTACTTGCGAAATGATGTCCCCAAACTCATCCAATGGTACATATATATATATATATATTATAATGTAATTAACACGTTGACGGACAGTGAGAAATTGGTGGGGTACCTCAGAAATACACAGCTGTAACTTCTAAACGCGTCGATAGATTTTCATTAAATTTGAACAGGGGTACTTGTGTATGATTAGAAGTTGACTTTTGTAGAAAAAATGCACTACTGCTATAGAAGTACTGTCCCCCTGGTTAGAATTTTTTAACACTATGGGATAGCGTACTGCTATGGCAGTACTGCTATAGCAGTAATAAACAACAAAAAACTGAACATCTTTTTTATTTATATTTAAAGTGAGAACAATAAGTAATTAGAACAAAAGAAACTGCAATATATGTCTACTTCTACTAATCATTATTTTTGTGGTACGATTCGAAACAAGCCGGGCACTGGAACTCTTTCCCCACTGTAGTCACTAGCTTCCGCAAATGACTTTAGGAGTCTTGCCTCCTCCTTTGCATCCATATCTAAGTACAAATTATGGAATTCCGTATAAAAAGTACTATTAGAAAGATCCAAAAATATTTCTAACCTCTTTTCTCTCTGGGGGCGCGAAACAACTAACACATGCAAATTAAATGCACGCACTACTGCTATGGTAGTAATGACGACGTTTAGTCCTCCTACCTAAATCACAACATACGCCTTTTTTGGTCTAAGGTGACAGTGCCCCAAATTTAACGTATATCCCACGGGACAGTAAGGTGTAAACTAACATGCATCGTTGTGGGAAACGTTACTTCTATAGCAGATGTGTTAATTTCAAGACTAAAATTATCTACTGCTATGGCAGTAGTGCCCCAGTAGATTAATTCAAAATTACTGTTAAAGCAGTTGTGTCCGTCAACGAGTTAAGGGGAAAATGTTTACATGGATGTTGAAACAAAAAAGTTGTGCTTAAATTTATTAATTGTTTTAAAATATTACTCAACAGAAAGTTAATTTTTTTTTAAATAGAAATTCAAGCTTATTTTTAAAACATACAAAAACATTTGGGTTTTTTAACTAATATGCGCATTTTCAAAAAGAATTGAATGGTATTTTCAAAATTAAAATATCAGGACCGGTTTACGAGATATTTAGGAAAAACCGAAATTGACGATTTCCGTTTTATTTAGGTCAAATTTTATTGAACGTCAAATACTCTTAACATAGCGTATCCAATTTTTAAAACAACGTTTCGTCTTTGCAGGGCCATACTCAACTATTTTTTTAATACGTAGTTTTTATTTTATTTTTGAAACCCAATTTTTTCTCTATTCATCTCTGTAGAATATTTTTTTTTATTATGTATTGACAATGACCTCTACTTCGGGAACTTTTCTAAGAAGGGTCCTGTTCCATTTTCAGAGTTTAAATTGTTACAACATATACACTAAATTAAATTGTGTTCTAAATAAAAAACGTTCGTGTAACTTCAAATTTTATTGAAATCAATGTAGTTGTAATTTATTGTAAAATTATGAAAATTTTGGTTAAATAGGTATAGCTGTTTCAGCTCAAATCAAGAAGACTGGTGAGATTAGCTAATTCCTCCTGAGACATTTTTCAGTTTATCTCAAATAACAAGAACCAGGATTTACTCTTTCTTGAGCAATCTTTCAGAACAGTGTTCATTCGTTATTTAAAATTGTTATGTGGGAAGTTTCTGGGGTCGGATATTATGATAAATCACTCTGACTTTTCAGATGAAAACATTTATCTTAATATGCACTTGTCATTTTATCATTAGAGATACCAAGAAACATCCATGGCATTGTATGAAGGATTTTTTCGATCCAAATTCATTTATGTAATACGTTTAATTAAACTACTTTAACTTTTTTGCGTATAGGATTTGAAATAATATATGATTCAGAATAACCTTCGAAATATCCAATCCGAAATAATGTCCATAATTTTAATTGTATAATAAGCATATCCTCAAACTAACCAATTCCTAAGAAAAAAGTTTGAGGACGGACCTCAAAGTCAACAATTGTCCTTAAACTAACCATTAAGTCTCAAAAAACGTCCTCATACGATTTGGGGACTAATAAATATTTGATACGATGATACGACGTCTCGTATCTTAACGGCCACCCTCAAGTTATGTTTTTAAATATGAACCTGACTTTTTTATTACAAATATTGATAAACGGTTAAAATCTAAATTCAGTGATATATCACACTTGTCATTTTAACGACGTTTTATCTGAAATAACTAACATCATCAGTGATAATAATTTTTAATTACGGTCCGTCGTAGTTCTGATTTCGTCAAAACGAGTATAATAATTGGCATACTTTGATATTTCCTAACAATTTCGATAAAACAAATAATACAAATTAACGAAAATTGAAGATTTCAAATCAGATTTCTCCTGAATCAACTTTTATTAGAATCTGTGCTTTTTTTATTTAACTTGAGAATTTGTAATTTTTGGTTTTCAACAATGTTGAAGAATATTGTTACCACTAACCAAAACTACACTTTTTAACACTCTTGTAAGTTTCACTAATTATGTTCGCACCATCAGGAGTTGATGATAAACTGTATGTGTTTATCATCAACTCCTTATGATGCTAATACAGTTAGCAAAACGCAGTAGTGGCTCGTGCCTTAGCACATAGGTGGAGCCATGGATTAACATTTTCGGGTGCCTGCACCATGCATCGTCCATGAACAAAAAAAAATGCATTTTTTTCATCACATCCACAAATCCAATTATTTTTTAAGTAATAATTCCGGTTAAACTTTCTTATCCGGCCTTCGAAGTTTGATGAACTTGAGGTGGAAGCCTTCTGCGTTTTTGTTATTTCCAAATCGGGAAGAGGTCTCCCAAGATCCTTTATTTGGATTTCCTCCTCGAGCTAGTGCGTAGAAAAAGGTTTCAATAACAGATTGCTTATTTTATTCATTTTGCCTCGGACTCTCGGACGATTTTTAATTTATTTAATTCATTTAATTCAATTCATTTAATTCATTTAATTCATTTAATTTGTTCAATTTATTTTAATTTAATTATACTTTAAAAACTCAACTATTCTAACTAAACAATACGCCGATCTCTCCAATGACGGGATTGAAACAATACTTTTCTAACTATTCATTCCGAGCCATTTCAAACGTGGCCCCGTTTGAACGTATAAGCAGCGCGTTCTACAGGCGAATTGCGTGACCTCGAGTAACCTTTTACAATGGATTAATATGTAAGCAGCCGGGCCACTGAGCGATGTGCTCGGCTAGACAACGGACGGTCAATTGCTTGAATTATTAAATTTGTTTTGTCTAGGAATAATACGACGCAAGTTTTTTCATCGGGATCAAATTAAATAATGATAAATAATTTATATAATGTATCGTTTAGCCATAATTTGATCCGACAATTGTAATAATTATTGTAATTAACATAAAAAGAAATATTTTTAGTCACCGAAATATTTACAAATTTTGCGCCAGTGCCATGGCCCTTTGGCCCCTTAGGACAAGCCGCCACTGCCAAAACGTACGAACAGTATTAAAAAGTGGAGTTTTGGTTAGTGGTGACGATATTCTTCAATAGAAACTTATTTCAAAGTTCTCGTATTCCTAAGTAAAGAAAATATTAGTTTCTTTCAGAAGACGATTATTTTTTTGCTTGTTTTATTTTTACTATTACTGAGTCCCAAAAGTCTCAGTATTAATGTCGTGATGGTAAAAACAAATTCTTGCCCCCACTTTTTATTACTTTTCTCGACATTTCTGAGCTCCCAAAGTCCGAAAATCCAAAATGTCGAAGTAAACCTGTTATTATGTTAAAAATATGTTAAATACCCAGAATAATCTTCGAAATCCCAATCCTAAATAATGAAATAATTTCATAAATTTTACTTGAACAATAAGCATTTATCTGAGAATGTCCTCAAACTAACCATTAATCTATTTCATAAAAAAAGTTTGAGGACACGTCGTCAAACTAACCAATTCCTAACAGAAAAGTTTGAGGACGGACCCCAAACTTAACAAATGTCCTTAAACTGACCATTATGTCTCAAAAAACGTCCTTATACGATTTGGGGACTAATAAATATTTGATACGATGATACGACGTTTCGTATCTTAACGGCCACCCTCAAATTATTACGAAGAGTATTAAAAAGTGGAGTTTTGGTTAGTGGTGACGATATTCTTCAATAGAAACTGATTTCAAAGTTCTCGTATTCCTAAGTAAAGAAAATATTAGTTTCTTTCAGAAGACGATTATTTTTTTGCTTGTTTTATTTTTACTATTACTGAGTCCCAAAAGTCTCAGTTTAATGTCGTGATGGCAAAAACAAATTCTTGCCCCCACTTTTTATTACTTTTCTCGACATTTCTGAGCTCCCAAAGTCCTAAAATGCAAAATGTCGAAGTAACCTGTTATTATATTCGTATTGACTAAATTAAAACGAATTTACGAAAGAACTACGACAGGAGTGTAATTAAAATTTGTTGTCACTGATGATATTAGTTTTTTAGTTTTAGGTAAAACGTCTTTAATTTGACAAGTGATATATCACTAAATTAAAAAAAAAATCGTTGACTCAGGTGAGTATAGCAGTAATATGGGATCCTTTACCCTCCTTATTAAGTTCTTAAGGGGAAGCTTATATAGAAGTTATCTAATATGGTGTCCTTACACATTCTCATTTTGTACGGCACTGGTTAAATCTAACTTTTGTTTAAATTTGGCGACGCTCTTGACGTACATAACGTATTTTTGTTTTAAAATAATATGAGTGGACATTTTTCGATATATTCGTGATTTTTACATCATCATAAAACATTTCCCTGGTGATGAAAACAATTTTTTATTTTGAAAAATAGTTATAACTCATTTTTTTAGTGCTTTAATAAAAAAACTCCTATTAATTTTTTATATGTTCAGGATTGTTAAGGAGTAAAAAAC